TGCATGCTAAGTGGGTACCAGTGCTTTGGGAAACTGAAGACAAGCCCACGGGGATGGAGTACATTGAGAGAAGGACAGTGCCAGCTGGAGAGGCTGCAGATGGAAGCACTAAATAGAAGAAAGTGATACCAGTCCTTGTCTTTGGATAGCATGCAGGACAGTGTAGGGCAAGGACAGGCACCTTGCCCCTGCCACTGCAGCAATTAATGTAGGAAAACATTCACAGTATCATGCTTGCCTGTTCAAATTCTGTTGCACAACAGTGCTTTTTATGGCTATGGAGCAAAGCCATGTTGGATGAGATGAAGAGTGCAGCAATCTGATTAGCAGCTCAAGAATATGGTATTTCTGTTTCTTCCCAAATCTGTGAGACTCGGTTAAACATTACTCAGGCTGTAATTCTTCTTTATCTCTGAGCTAGACACATGACTTGTTTCTGTTCACTGTAAACTGCATTTGCTTGCACAGATGGATGAGTGCTTTGCCCTCTCCTCTTGCCACTTGATTGATTACATGTACCTCAGTCAATCTTGCACAGGCACAGTGGAAAGGCTCAGTTCTTTGTAGCTTTCAGCCAGCATTCACTTTACAGATGATAACCAATGAAGCCATTCACCCCCCGGGTAAACATGGCAAATTAGTTTTGAAGCTAGGCAAACAGAAGCAAGTCCTTTGCCTGCATTTAGTTTTTTATGAAGGACAGGAGGGTTATCTGGAACAGTTTATGCAGAGTTGTTCTAAGTGGGAAGGCAAACTGGAGCCAGGGAATATGGGAGAAACTGGGCTATTTCTGAACACTTTACTGGAACAAGCAAGTTCATCATAGGTTGCTCTGGTGGCTAATGATGAAGCGTGCTGCCAAACTCAGCCATTACCCCAGCTCTTGGCACGGCATTGCCATGTCTCACGCAGCTGGAGAGCAGTGAGCTACCTTGCTGCAGCCTGGAAACTATGGTCCCCAAGAAACTCTTTTCTTTCACTGCCCTGAGAGCCAGTCCTTGTTCTGGCTTCGTGGATCTTGCCTTGCTGTTCCGAAACACAGCAACATGTGGGAAGGGAGACAGGGGAAGCTGCGGGGGTTTTCTGAGTGCCGGTCTGGCAAATGGATGAACTCCATCCACTTGCCTGAAGGTGATTCATATAGAGAGTCCCAACAATTATCATTGTCATAGGAGACTCCCTTCTGAAGGGAACGAAAGGTCTAATATGCAGACCGGACCCACTTCTTAGGGAAGTCTGCTGCCTCCCTGGGCTGGGGTTAAAGATGTCAAGAGGAAGCTTCCTACCCTGGCGCAGCCCTCAGATTGTTATCCATTATTGCTTTTTCAGGTAGGCAGTGATGAAGTTGCAACAAGAAGTCAATCAGGAGAGACTTCAGGGCCTTGGGATGACTGGTTAAGGGATCAGGAGAACAAGTAGTGTTCTCTTCTATCCTTTCAGTTGCAGGGAATGATGAGGGAAGATATGAGAAGAGACAGCAGACTCAGCCTGGTGTCACCAGCAGAAGCTTGGGGTTTTGATCATGGGTTGATTTACACAACACCAGGACACCACCAGTCTCCAAGGGGAAAAGGATCTTTGCACAGCAGTTAGCAGGGCTCTTTGAAAGAGCTTTAAACTAGACTTGAAAGGGGAAAGGGATAAATCAGTGTTGGAGGGATAGTGTGCTAGCAAGGCCCTTTGTGTCAGTAGAGATAGGGGATGGGAATCATGCAGCAGCAAGGACTCAAGAGTTAATGATGCATTAGAAGCCAGAAAAGTGCCTGAAAATGGTCACATAGGAATTGGAGCTTCTTCCCCCAAACCAGCTGAAAGGCATCTACAATGCACACAGCACGGGCAACAGACAGGAGGAGCTGGAAGCCATTGCGCAGCAGGAAAACTAACTGGTTGCCATCATGGAAACATGGTGGGATGACACACAACTGGAGTGCTGCAGTGGATGGCTGTAAACTCTTCAGAAGGGATGGGCAGGAAGGAGAGGTGGTGGGTTAGTCCTGTTTTGATTGTCTGGAGCTTAATGATGGTGATGATAATCCCTCTCTACAACTACCTGAAAAGAGGTTGTAGTGAGGCATCAGTTTCTTCTCTCAAGTAAGAGGTGACAGGACAAAAGGAAATGGCCTCAAGTTGTGCCAGGGGGGTTTTAGATTGGATGTTAGGAAGAATTTCTTCACCAAAAGGGCTGTAAAGCATTGGAACAGGCTGCCCAGGAAGTCACCTTCCCTGGAGGTATTTAAAAGATGCTTAGGGACATGGTTTAGTGGTGGCCTTGGCAGTACTGGGTTAACAGCACTTAAAGATCTTTTCCAACCTAAACAATTCTGTGATTTACTTCTAGCAGTCAGTCTAGGGGAAAAGGATCATTGCTACATTTGGAAGCTGACTGACCCTTTTTCTGCTTTACTGTGTCTATTGATCCAATTCCTGAGGTCAGCCAAGGACTGCATTATCTCACCTCTAATATCTACATCTGTGTCTGTATACCTGGAGAGAGAGACATGGACTGGTGGCAGACCACCCTGACTAACACGTAGCTGAGTGCAGCTGAGAAGGAGATGCCAGCAGTTAATATAAGCCTCTGGAAGAAATGACTGATCAAGAGATGGTGCAGGCATCCAGGTTAAGCCCTTCGTTTGACCCTGAGCAAATTACCCAACTCCTATCTGTAAAAGAGAGCCAATGGCATTCTTCTGCTCTGTCATGCCCTTGAAGCCCGATGCCTAAGTAAGTGCTTGGAAAGCCTCAGTGGAAGCACAGCAGAGTCATTTTGACATGCTCCATAGCTGTGCAGAGGGAAAAGAGCTTGCCTTCAGGCACAGCGGTGCCAAGAACCAGCAGTGCAGGTTCACTGCCCATCAACTCCCAGAGCTTCCAAGAAGATTTTTAGCCTGGAGGAGTCCAAGGTGGGAGCACAAAGATGCCCTTTTCCTTCAGCAGTCCCACTAGGTACAGTACCTAATAATAAAGCCTAGACAGTGAATGCACTCTGTGCCATCCACCCATGGGCTTCAACAACTGTCACTCCAACAGCCTGCTTTCAAAGCACAGTTCTCACTGTTCTCTGCAGCAGCACTGTTTCATGACAGCACTAAGAAGTGTGTACACACACACTGGTACCAAAGAAGCTGACCTAACCCTTTACATGCTAAGTGCCTTTGGTATTGCTTTGTCCCCCATTGGCCCTCATTTTCCCATCCTGTTTCAGTCTTTAAAGCTGCACTGCCATAACAAACCTGGTCAGGGAAGCCAGCACCCCACTCCTCTTGTGTAAGCTTACCCATGTGCGTGGTGTGTCTTGGTTTTCTTAGCCTTGTGCCCTTCCCTAGGCTGAAGAGCCACAGCTCAGAGCCTCTATATCCATACACATTTGCTAGATTTCTATTCCCTGTTAGTTCTCCCCACAATCTGGAGTTTGAATAGGCAGCATGAGTTGTCTGGGATCATTCCGTGCATTTGCCATTTCAGCTCTTAGCTTCCCCACCCAAATCACACAGGGACAGCAATCAGATTGTTTCTTTTTCCTTGTTAAAGAAGAAAGACAAACAGTTTTCATGCCTATTGAAACCTGCACACAGCACTCAGGAAGAGACTATTAGCACAATATTTGGAGAACAAAAATAACTCAAATTTGATCTTCCTGGAATATCACAAAGGCCATATTTGGTAGGGGCTTACAGACAGGGCATGTCTGTTTTGGCAAGATGAAGGGGTAAGATGTTGCTGTTGGAATAATTCTGTTAATGCTGCTGGCATTTTATTGCTGCTAACTCTCCGTTGGTACATCAAAGCTGTGAATAGGTGGCTTTAAAAATCATCCTCAATACCTACCTTGCACTCCAAGGATCTTGCTTGTCTTATGCCAGGTCTGAAGGCAGGCTTGGCTTCTTTTATAAACAGATGCAGCTTTATCAATAGATGCAGCTCAATTCAGGGAGAATTGTAATTCCTTCTGTTTAACTTTGCAAAGATTGAAGGTGGCATGGCATAAGTTAAAAGGCTGGATGAGTTGCTCTCAAACTTTTTGCATTGCTCCTAGTCTGCTTAAATGCAAGTTAGCTGTGGAGTTACTCACGTTTTATACCAGGGTGAGGAAGTCTCCCTGAAATCACAGAAACAATTATATAGGAGAAAATAGGCTTAATGCTTTTCCTACTCCACCCCCTTCTCATTCTTCAAGCCTTGCAAGGCAGTTTGGGAGTGCCAGGCTTCACACCATTTATTTCTGCACAGACCTAATCCTGAGTTGCCCTTGGGAGCTGTCACTTAGTTCAGGCTGCATTTGATAGGACTCCAACAGTTCCCAGTTTTGGAAAACTTCCATTCCAACTGCTTGGCCCTGTACCTGTCTCAGGTTTCTATATTAAGGAGTTTAGCTAGTTCCACTTCAGTGTTTCTATTTATTTATATCTTTGTAACACTGAGCCATAAATAGCGCTGAGCACTGACACCTCCCAAATTGTGGGCACCCATCACACAAAGGAGAAGTTAACAGTTCATATTCACTTAACTCCTCCAGTGCTCAGGGCCAATGTCTTCAATTTAGAGTGGGAAAAGATGGTGATAGCAAACCTGAAGCAAAGGGAAGAGGTAAGAGAAGTTAATAGTGTCTTGTGTGATTGTTTTTGGTGCCCTGGTCTGATGTGGGCAGATCTTTCTTTAACCAAGCTTAAAACCAGCATTTACTCTCTCACTTTCCCTGCTTCCCACTTGTGGAATGGCAATAGCTCGTATCACTTTACCATACTGGGGGCAGGGAAAGCAAGAATAAGTTCAATGAGGGATGCAACAGTACGTTAGGTGGTGTACAAACAGTGTGGTAGGAGAAGCTCTGGCAAAGATACAGCATTTGTCCAGGCTGCTTTCCTGTAAAACAAATGAGTTCAAGAAAAGTAGATAGCACCTGGCTCTCCTGAGGGCACAGACAACAGGATGCAGCCTGACCTTAGGTGCCAAGAGCTGGAATGACAGCAGCATGCTGTTTCCACCCCCAGGATTAGCAAGACCTGCTGGGACAGAACAGGAGACTGCAAGTGAGAGGAGGAATGACAATGCAGTAAGTATTACTGTTCCTTTCCTTCTTGAAGCTGCTCAGGGGAAACTCTAATTTAGTGATGTCTGGAAGAGCCCCTGACTTACGCTTGGGGGTTTGAGGCCTGAAACTAAGGCTGAATGCTTCCAAAAATAAGGGGGGAACACAACCCAAACAAAATAGTGTGTCTAATGCAACAGCAGGACCTCACCCAGAGCTGCAGCGCTGAACATGGCATCACATTTGAAATCTTTAAATAGATTCTGGCACAGTGTGAGCTCACTCTCACTCAAAGCCCGGCCTGTGCTGTGCCAAAACTGCAGTTGTGCTGGGGTGTGAGGTGCCTGCTTTCTCCCTGCCATGAAGAAGACTACAGGGCATTCAGCCTCACTTAAAAGGGGCACACAGCAGAGTACTTGAAAATGGCTGGTACTTCTTCATACAGACGTACTGCCCTCCTGTGGCTGCCAAGGAGCATCTCTAATGCAGGAACAGGCAGACCAGGGACTGAGGGAAACAATACAGAAAAGTAACTATATATTCAGTTTAAACCAAAACACAATTTGGTAACAAGGAAAGAAAAGGAAAACATCCTGTGTGATTAACTGGGAGTACATAAGAAGGCAAGAACAAAGCAGAGAAATTTACTGAGAGACCTCCTAATTGTTTTGTAAAGATAGTCTCGAGTTATTACTCAGAGAGATGGTTCATCTAACTTCATCTGGATAGCCCATGGGGGAGACTTCACTAGCAACTGGAGCAAAGAAGGTGTGGGAGAGGAGAGCGCTGCTGCATTTCCCTGACTGTGACAGACGTGTGCTATGACCTTCCTGTATCTACTAACAGAAGTTGGCATGACTTCTGCAGTGTTGATAGGGCTCTTGCTGAGACACCTCATGTTGCAAACGTGTTCCTTCCTCTCTGTGAGCCAGGATGAGATGACATTTCTAGCACAGCCTGACTTCTCTCTGAGGGACTTGCCTTAAAAGCCTGAAGTTAGGTTCTATGAATAAGACCTTGAGTATCCACCAGGAATGGCCCATTTCTTGTACTTCATGACTGTGCTGCTTCTTGTGCACCCTCTGCGGGCAGAACGCATCTCCAGTCTCTCATACTGGAGTGGGTGTGACAGGGATCATGTAGGAAAACGCCAACATGCGGCACCTCCTTCAGGACTTGAGGCTGTGAAGTCACACCTGTATCAAGAGGGGTGTCACCCCTGTCTACTTGACAGCAGTGCTTTTAGGGGGATGTACATCAGTGGGAATGTTGGGATCTCTTCAGACGAAAGAGACTGCAGTTGAGCAGAGCATGCGCCAAGCTGAAGTCAGTGAATGAGCACAGGAGACAGACAAATGCTTTGTTCATTCAAGTTGCCAGATCACTGACTCAGCATCTCATGTAGCAGCCAGCTAGGGAATAAAGTAAATCCTGCCTTCTCCAGTTCCACATCTTAGGCCATACATTATTAACATCACAAATAAAACTTTGCTTTATGCCCAGGTGAAAATGGCCAATGAGATATCAGTCAATATCATTTTAAAACTTGTGTGTATGTGTGCATATGCACACATAAACACACAGAGAGAGTATGTATATATTTGTAATAAGCACATATGAACTTTTACACAATTGAAACCACTCCAGTATGTACATGATATATTCCTACCACTCACCAGGACAATACATTTTGTTGCACTGACAGAATCTGTTGCCCAGTTTCCTTTTAAATGACAATAACAAAACTATGCAGAATTGCTCAGCGGAAGGCCAATCTTTGACAAGCACAAATCTGCAGCAACCCACCAGCTCCAGTAGTGATCCTTCAATATTTGAAGGTATTCCTCCAGCTTGCTTCGAATATCAACTCTGCTTTCACAGAAATAAGTTGTTTCTAACAATATGCTACAACCCTGTTAAGCCAAGCAGGATTTTTCCTCCAGTACTTATAAATAATTCACACCCTCTCTACACCATGCAATGCAAAAAGTAGAATCATCTTTGCAGTATTCTCATTTGGCCCCATAACTGCTTTAAAAAATGCCCCAAAAATAAAAGGAAGAAAACCCAACTCTCACATAAACCTTAAAAATCAGCAGACGGAGCTCCACTGATTTACGTTTCCAAAGGAAATACCTTTCAGTAATAATTAACTCTGCAGGTGTTAAGTCCAAACATTGCTAATGTGAGAAATGAGGACAGAAAACTAAACAAAGAGCAAACTGAGAGACACACAGCTTGTGAAAACCCTTACATGTGTTTGCATCACTCACATGATGTCCTTGTTAAATACCAAAGTAGATGAGCTTGAACAAGTCTACTGGAAAAAACACTACCTTAAAAATGTGTAGTTCAAAGCCTTATCTAAAAAGCATTATGAGAGATGAAACTCTGCAATCTCTCTGTCACTGCATTATTCACAAAACCTTGCATCATGTTGCATTCTGAAACACTGACACTGATGAGCTGTCAAAGAAAACAGCACTTCTTTTGCATCATCGACACTAGACTAAAAAGAAAAGGTAAAAAACCCACAGAACTTGGCTATTCTTAAAAACTGACTCTCTGAATAGAAATCAAATGATTTTAAAAGGTGGAGAAAATAGACAGGTTTGGTCAGACCCGTATTTTATACTGGCAGCAAGCACTGTGATTCTGGTATTGATTTCTTTTAAGGAACTCAAGGGTGTGTAAATATGCCTAGCATTAATGATGCCTTATGTAAGAAGCAGATTGAAATTTGCACCTCTGTCTTTTGATACAAGTTATGACAGGGTAAATAACTGGTTTAAATTTTGTAATAAAAAAAATCTTTAAACAGTACCAAAAACTAGGTAAGCCCAAGTGTCAGTCCCTGTAAGAGGACCTCTTCATAAAGGGAAGGTAAAGCCTCCTTTGGAGTAGTTACAGCAACACACAGAAATGAAACTAGAAATACACACAAGAAGTTACAGGTCTGATTTAATGGAGTTGTGTAGTGATTTCCACCTGATGGTAATCTGAGGATTGTAATATGGAGCCAGAAAAAGATTTCCAAAAAGGTAAAATGCTGGGAGGAGACGGGAAAAAAAGTATCTGAATTCCCACACTGAGGATCTGATGTGCTGGAACAGGCAGCCCTGCCTTCATCAGCTGTTAGGTGCGGTGGTGGATGGGCTCAGAACATCAGAAGCCTTATGTTTAAACATCCCAACCACCAACATTCCTGCCTAAATCCATCATGGCTCACTGTATCTAACTAAGGTCAGAATAAATAGGCATTTGGGACAATTGCAGAAGTTGTGTGCACAGAAGACAGGTTATGCAGCTCAGCCTCACTTCCGTACTGCTCACAACCAGGTGTAATGACTGCTCTCTTCTGTGCATGTTGGCTGCTATGTTTCTCTAATTACAATTTACTTGCACAGCATGTTTGCACAACACTTCAAAAGTGTTAAAACTCCTAGAGTACAGTTAAGCTAGATTGAAATTCCAGGGATAAAACACTTTAGCTTCTGGAAGCACAAATCAGACCCTCCTTCAGTGTCCCATGCTACATACAGGTTTCTGTGCTCGCAACAGCCAGTGTACACATCAAATCACATAAAAGTAACACTCTGACATCAGCAATGAGCCAGGATTTTCCCTGGAGTCCCAGAGTCCTGTATATATTAGATTTTTAATACACATCATGTCACAGAGTTAGTGTTTTCCTTACAAATATATGGCACTAAGTGTAAAACTTCAGCACTTACTCCAAACAGTGTAACCATACTTCACAGTAAAGCTTTCAAAAGAATCCTCTAACTCCCACCTCTTCTAAATATACAGCTGGTGGGAGGCCAGGGTGTCCATGAATGGTCGCACAAGGTTGTCTGTCGAGAAGTAAAAGACCAAGCCAAAGGTGATGGAGATGGGAAGAGCAGGCAGTGCTTTCTTAAAAACAGCCAGCAATAAAAGAGTTAAGCATAAACCCTGAAAGAGAGAATAAAAAACAAAGACATATAGTAAGAAGCCCAGAAATGTATGTCATCAACAATCTAATATACAAATAATAAGCTATACTGTACAGCATCTGAATCCTGCCTGAGCTAGCAGCAGCCCACAGCTTCACCTTTCAAGTTGCCCAGGCACTTCCTTCTGCAATCTTGAGCACAGCTTTCTGCTGAGAAAATGCTATAAACAGCTTCTGCTGACATACAGCTGACCCCGAGAGGCTCATTTATTTACAGATTACATTTTCTTCTGTGCCGTTACGTATGAAGTACTGATCCAGCACACGAGAGCGCTTAAATCCTAGTGAGCTGCATAGGTAAGAACCTCCACTGGAGGACTCTGAATATACAGCAGCATGTACTTCTAATGCCTTCCCAGTTTGCAAGTTCTCTTGGGGTAAAATAAATAATATATATATATACACACACACACACAGAGCAGATAGAAAAATATCCACTGCTGCTCTTTTGACTGCATTGCATTCTACGACAGGTGAATTCTGGTTTTATCTGGATAGCAGGCCAAGGTTTGGGTTTTGGAGCATGTGTGAAAGCTTTGGTGCATTTTGGGAGGACAGTATGGCTAAAAGCATTTAGGTATGGATTCTTTCTCTCATCTGAGCCCTTCTAATTCCTCCACGATGACAAATGAAGGACACAATAATTCATTTTCTTTTACCTTTTAAAAATCCTGCTGGTTAGTTTCCATAAGGATGCTGATGTAAACGGCAAGTTCCTAGTAATTATTTTCTGCCTAGGTGAAAGCTTAACAGTGTGTGGTCATTAGACCTGGCAGGACCGGGTACTTTAGCAGTTACAGTATGATCATCATCTGCTTTTACTGATAATTTCCATGGATTTTTAAGTCTGCTTCCTTCCAAGCTCAAACACCAGAACAAGACAGTTCTTCATCCTCTTATGTAGCAGTTCTCCTTAGCGTAAGGGAATTAATCTTTTCGGCTTCACTTGCTGATAAATGTGCACTTCATGATACTGACTCTTCTGGCTGACAGAAGTCCCCAGTCTTTTAACACTGAAGCAAGCACACTGACAGTTCAGCTGTAACTATAAGCTGGTAACTGTGGCTGTTTCACCATCTCCACACTTGGCTCTGTTCTGACAAGTCAGTATCATTCAGCTTCAGTGGCTGCTTAAAGCCTGACTCTCTAGATTAGGTGGTTTCTCGTAGATATCCATCATGTTACCTGCAGTGACTAAGCAGTGCTCAGCTGCTGGTACTTCTGGCAACACTGCTGTACTAAATAGGGTGTAAGAGAGTTACTAAAAGCTTGCTCACTTACTATGAGAATGGCTACAAAGCAGGCCAGCGTGGTATTCCAGTCTCCACTTGCTGTGGCCGCTGCTTTCCCAACAAGCACACTGTAAAATATGAAGTCTCCAAGGCCCAGCTTCACACCCCCTGACAGAAGTGGGAAAAGAAAACAAGTGTTAATTCTGCTCCTCCTGCTCTGCTTCCTCCTGCACAAATTCTTGCCTCTGGGGAGCAGGTGAGGGCTCCTCATCC